AAAGTTTCCTTCAGAGAATTTTGGAGAGCTGGTTTGGTGGTCATGAATTTCTTTAGTTGTCCTTCGTCATGGAAGTATCTTATTTCTCCATTAATATTGAAAGATAGTTTTGCAGGGTACATTAATCTGGGTTGGAAGTTGTTTTCTTTCAGGACTTGAAATATTGCACTCCAAGGTCTTCTTGGCTTGAGGGTTTGTGTTGAGAAGTGTGCTATGATTCTGATGTGCTTTCCTTTATAGGTGATCTGTTTCTTTTCTCTACCAGCTTTTAATATTCTGTTCTTGTATTACTCAGAATTTAAATTAAAAGTCCTGTGTGAGGAAACCATATTTCTGAGCACTCAGAGCAAATTCTCTTTCCTCCTTCATATTACATTGACACAAAAGACTTTAGCAGCCATTTCTCTGAACAGTTTGAAAAGATGAACATTGCATTTCATGCTCTCCCATAATAGAAACTTGCTTTTGAAATTTGAGGGGTCTAAATTTTTTTTTTTTTCCATACCGGGAATCAAACTCACGACCTTGCACTTGCCAGGCAGGCACTGTGCGCTGAGCTAAATCTCCAGCCCCAGAGGGGTCTAAATTTGGTTATACATTGGAAGTATGTTTCTCAGAAAGCTCGGACTATTAATGGTCTAGGCACAATGACCATCTTCACCCTTGCCTCATTTATTCCTTTCTTAAGTTACCCTGATTCACAGAAAACAAAAACAAAATAAAAGCCATAATGCATTTTATTTTCCTGAACAGGATTGGTATTAAATTTTGCATTTTAGGGGGCTGGGGATTTAGCTCAGCGGCAAAGTGCCTGCCTGGCAAGCGCGAGGTCGTGAGTTCGTTCCCGGTACCGGAGAAAAACCAAAAAAAAAAAAATAAATAAATAAATAAATTTTGCATTTTAGGACTGAGGATATAATTCAGAGATATACACTTGCCTAGCATGCACAAGGCCCCAAGTTCAAAAAAAATTATTATTTAACAAAATCAATATAAATACCAGGAAAAAGTAAAGTGTGTTTCAAACAACAGCCACAAAACTCAGAGACTCCACAAAACTCAGAGACTCCAAAGGCAACATCAGTGGACTTTATGCTTAATTGTAGACAAAGGAATGAATAAGTAAAAGTGTCTATACTATAGACACTTGCTTTCTCTTAAAAATAAGTACTTAATTGACCTTGTATTGTATTCACCGCTTTTGCATTCAGCTTTTAACTATGTAAGTCTTTACTCATGCCTGTCACAGTTGCAGTAAATTGTATTAAAGTTATTCAAATTCTGCCAATTAACTGACAAATGGTTGCTTTTAAAAGGAATTTCTTTTTTATTCTGTAAACTTTCAAAATTTTGCCCTTTCTGTTTATTTATTTATTTTTTGGTTCCAGGAATTGAACTCAGGACCTTGTGCTTGCCAGGCAGATGCTGTACTACTGGACCCCAAATTTTCCCTTTCTGAACCAAGATTTCTTTTCCCTGAAAAAAACATATAACTTTGTAGCTCCCACTGCTTTTTTTTTTTTTTTGTCTTTTGTCAAGCACATCCCTTATCCCAAAACTGAAGATAAAATGTTTAATTTTTATCTTTAAATATATTGAAATCTTTATGAGAAAAAAGTGACTGCTACTAAAATTTTGCTAGATTAAAATAAAACAAGATACAATTCAGGCTCCAAGAATATCATTAATATATAGGAGAAAAGTGGAATTAAGGTGTTCTTAGGTCTTTCTGTTATTCAAGAGGAAATGAATTTGGAGAAGTAAAAACTTGCACCTTTATATTATTCTTTAGCAAAGTTCAGCAACAGAAGTGGAGACCCAAGTGGCTGGGTTGATCACATGCTGAAAGAATCAGAGGGCAGGAATGACAGTAGTAGTTTAAAGGCAACACCAGTTAGAAGGCTGTTTATGTATCGGAAGAAAATGGAGAAATCCAGGGACTAGTATTTTTGACTAACATGCAGGGTACATTTCTTGAGAATGAGTATGAGAACTGGACATTTATTTTTTTTGTTCAGATTTTTATTAGTATATATTTGTAGTACATACTGATTACATTCATCATGGGGAGTTAGCACATTAACACATATTAATTCTTTTTCAATCTCCTTCTCATCCCTTCCCTCTCTTCTTTCTCGATCTCTCGATCCTCTTGCCTTTTGCAAAATAGCTAGCTCTCTGTTTCCCATTATCTATCTTTTATTTTTTTCTATAATTTGCTTATATGTTGGGATTCTCATATAAGACAAACCATGTGATATTTGAGCTTGTATTTGTCTGATTTATTCACTTATCATTATGGTCTGAATGTGCATCCACATTACTACAAATGACTCAAAAGTATATCTGTCTTTATGGTATAGTAGTACTCTGCTGTGTATAGAGTACATTTTCTTTATCCACTCTCCCACTGATGGACATATAGGCCACTTCCAAGATTTAGCGATCCTGAGTTGCACTACTATAAACATGGCTATGCATGTATCACTATAATACTACGTCTTTAACTCTTTTGGGAGTATACCTACAAGGGGAAAAGTTAGGTCAAGTGGAATTTCTAGTTTTAGTGTTTTGAGGGCTCTCCATACTGATTTTCATAGTGGTTATACTAGTTTACACACCCGCCAATAGAGGGCAATGCTTTTCCCTGAAGCTTCTACCAGGATTTGTTATAATTTGGCTTCTTGAATATAGCCATTCTTTTTGGAGAAAGGTGAAATCTCCGTTGTTTTGAAGTCTATATTTTTTTAAAATTTTAAATGCTTTAAATTTTTTTTTTCTCCCCTTTTTATTTTTTAAGCACAAAGTCCGAACTGTCCCAGTGCCCAAAGTCTTCCTTTCTGCTAAGGTCCAGTACAGTCTGAGTCTTTGATCAGAGTCTTTGTGGTAGCACCAAGTATATCCGAGCTGCTTCCCATGAGCCATCAGGCTCACCCTCTCTTCCCACAGCAGTAGGACTTCGACATCCCCTCTGCTTTTAGCAGCAGGCACTCTTTGGAGGCCGTGTTCCCCAGGGGCTCAGAAAGAAGAGGAAGACCCTGAGCGTCTGTGGGTTGTGCCAGGGACACCAGATTAGTGCCCAAGATTATCTGTGCTGGTGATGAGGGCGCCTACATTGGCGGCTAGAGCTTCTGCAATCAGCACCTCGGGGTGGTTTTTTGCTTTGTGTGCCACTATACTGGTCTTTTCAAATATTTTTGCCACAGATACTGCAAGAAAACTGGTAGAAGGAGTCTGCATCATGCTTCTTCAGGTGCCAGTTGAGGGATGCCTTTTGCAGACAAAGTAAATCCACAGACCTCACACTGTAAATCCACAGACCTCACACACGGCTTCTTGCCAGTGTGACTCATCCGGTGCACTGCCAGGTTACGGGAATTCTTGAAGGCCGAAACGCAGTATTCACAGATATACTCCCTTTGAGATGTATGGTGTTTGGCATGCCGTAGAAGCTGCTTCTGGAGCTGGAGGAGCTGTCCACAGGAAGAATGTGGATAAACATGTTTCTTTTTCAGCACATGCTGGTATTTAATGTGGTGCTGCAAATAGCGAGGGTGAGCAGAAAGAGTTCTGCACCCTTCCACCTCACAATGCAAGTACTGGATTGGAAGTTTCTTCTTCCTTTTGAGTAAATGAGGGCTTTTGTCATCTTTTTGCCTTCGTCCTCTCTTCCTAGCAGGTTCTTCGTCTTCTGTAATTTCCTTCTCCTCTTCTTTCACCCCTTCTACTTCCACTTTCACCCCTTCTACTTCCACTTTAAGTTCTTTCTTTCTCTTCCTTCACCTTCCCCGATTTTCTCCGTGGCTTTGGAGGTTCCCTTTCTGAGTGCGGTTTGTAGGCCTCATCTCTGGGGTCGTCTTTGAACGGTATTTCCCCTTCTCTGATTAACATCTCTTCTTCTCTGCTGCTTCTCCTCCTCACTAATGCCACCGGGAGACTGATGCTCTTCTGCAGCTTCATAACCAAACTGGTCTGTAACTGGTTCTGACTTGCAGATGAGCTGGGGTGAGCCAGTCTTGGATGAGAGCTGCGGGTCTTCTCTGTGTCTCGAACTTGGGAGACTGACGTCCTGCTGCACTGCGCCGGCCATGGCCAGGCCTTGTTGCAGCGATGGAAGCTTCCTGAGGACAGGCAGAATCCTCTTCCTCCTCTTTCTCTTCCTTGGGATCTTCTTCATGTGTTATTTTTTCTACACATCTTAAAATACAGGCAAAAATACATGCAGAAGACATGATGCTTGGCAAGACCACAAACAGCTGGTCTGACTGAGTCACATGCGACACCCTGGAACTCGGAGTCGGCAGAGCCCGGGTCACGACGCCGTTTCCCGCTTCCTTCAGAGCCGCGCGGAAGCTGCAGCTCGGGAGTAGGAAGCTGCAGGAGGGGCGCGCGCCAGGCCGGGCTCTAATGGGGCGGGACCCGCTACGGAGCGCCGCGAGGGCCAGGCCACGCCAGGCCGGGGACTGAGCGGCCGACAAAAGGGCGCGGATGCCCGGGTGCAGGACCACAGCGCGGCGAGGTCTATTTTAAAACAGGGTGGGATATAGCTGTTTGAAATTTCTTATATAGAGAAGGGATGAGACCAGGAAGTAATAAAGTGAGCTAGTGCCAAAATACAGGAAGAAGGGATCAAGAAACTGTAGAGATGGATCAGGAAAACTGTAGAGATCACAAAATAGAGATGACGGATAATCTGATGACATGACTTTTGAAAATCATTGAAATGATGCAATTTATTTGAAATCTGCAACCTCTTCTTTATAGGTAATAAGTATCTTCCTTCAGATTCTGTCAAGCAATGACTTGTTTCTTACTCACTCTAGCACATACGCTATGTACTCTGAAATTAATACAATTACCCTAAATCAAAATACTCTGTCATATGGGCTGGGTTCTTCTCTAAGATTTAAAAATTCACAAAACAACTAGCTAGAAGAATTTTCATACAGAGACATGTAAGTCTGTATTTCCTTAAAAAGTTTAATATCCATTGAACTCACCATCAACTGGTAGGTTTTGTGATAAATCTTTAAGTTTCTTGTCTGGGATCTTGAGTTTCATATTTTCTAATACGTTTTTCAGGTTATTGATGTGAACTTTCCCACCTAAGGAAAGAATCAGAAGCTTAAAGGAGGTTTAGTGACTTCTCTGAATAAGAAAACTTCAGTTAATCTCCAGGTACTATGATCATCTGCTAAAATATCAATGAACTGAAGTGTTCAAGTGCACAAAAGGGGACAAAATGGAATGAGAATGGCAACCTCTGGCCTGGTCTTGAGAATTTTACCAAGTAGGAAGTCATTCTCCAATGAATTAAAATAGTGGAGGCAAATTGAGAACTGTCTGGCAGATAGGGCCTAAAAGCTCAGTACCCCTAGTTTTGAGTACCCCTAGTTTTTTAGCTCCTGACATGCCCTGAAGAACTTGCCAATTCTTTACCTTACATATTCAGTGTAGAGGCAGATTTAAATTTGCTTTTCAACTAAGTTTAGCAAAACCAATCTTAGCAGCAAAGTGAAAAACCATTTGGAAATTACACATATATTTGAGAGGAGTGAAACAGTAAAGAATTAATGTGAGGAATAGTAAGATCTATAAGAGAATAACTAGACAAAAATACAAAAATGAGGCAGAAGAATTTTATTTATGTTGTTTTCATCGTGGTTCTTACCTTTGAAAGATTTCACACCATCAAGGATTCTACTTTCATATAGATTTCCATCATCTGTAATGCAAAGACACAATTCACATCAAAGATAAAGTAGGTGGTTAAAAAATAAGATGAATATTTAAATTAAAAAAAGATATTACAGTAAAAGACACATTGCCAAGAATGATAGGATAAGTGTGTTGAAAGTGAGGGGGAATAGTTTGAGGGGGATAAATGGCAATGTGGCTTTCACTGTAAATTTTTTATTTAAACATTCATCATATTTTTGAGTACCCCTTACTGATCAAACATTTATAGCAATTTCTGTCAAATAAAGACATGGTGGTGTGTTCTCAACCACCTGTTAACTGGACCTGACACCATGTGACATCGGGCTCTTCCTCAAAGACAAAATGATCTTTCTTATATGAGAAACTCAAAGAATAAATAATTTAAAATGCAAAATAAGAGAATAGGAGATAGATCTTTTGCAAAAGGGACTGGGAACAAGAGCTAGAGGGAGAAGAGAGGGAGGAGAGGGGAAGGGTAAGTAAAAAGGATTAAGATGTGTTATGTACATGTATCAACCTCCTATAATGAATGTATTCACTATGTATTGAAAATAGTAAATAAATAAAAATAAAAATTAAAAACAAAACCAAATGAAAGGTAAATATTTTGAATTGATTCAGGACATTGAGGCAACCACAGTACTTCAATAGACACACACAAAAGAGGACTTCTAGAACTGCTTCAGAAAGCAGCAAGAATCATGGGATAAGTGTGTTTAAGGTGAGGGGGAATATTCTGAAGGGGATTAATGGTAATGTGTCTTTCACTGTAACATATTTTTAAAAATTTAAACATTCACTGATTTGTTGATCACACCTTGCAGACATTTAGAAAGGTATAATTTCATGAAGGTATCTTTAAATGATTTTGCTTAGAAGTAACTTTGATCTTCACTGTCCCAAACATTTGAAATTATGGAATAGACAAAACACTCAGTGCTGTGTCTGGCTGAATGGAAAGGGAACACGAACACATCCTTCTTTCACTTCTCTTTTCCTTCTTTCTCCCACGCTAGTATTCCTCACTCCACTTTTGTCTTACATCTTTCAGTTTAACTTTTAGTTCTAAGGGTGGAACTAAACACAGTAGTAGAAAATTTCATATCCATTATACTATTCAAGGAAAAGGAGTTGCTGACTCAGAAAAGAAGGAACTAAATTACACTTTGCAAAGAAAGATCAAGGTTATACTAAAATTTCTAAGGAAGTTATATATTTAAAAAATGTAGGCTTTCTACTATGCGCTATTTATTTATCTATTTTGCAGTCTTGCAAAATAAAGATATAGCTTTTGAAGACTTCTTTCAGTATGGAGCATGAGCGTCCTCAAACATGCTAATAGAATTTGAAATGCTTACCATCAACTTGTAGAGTTTTCACTAATTCCAAGAATTCTTCAGGCATCAATTCTATTCCAGTATCTTCCAGAAAATTTTCAACATCGTGCAGACTAACTTTTTTTCCTTCAAGGATAAAAATGGCAAATATATTGGGCAACATTAAGAAGTATCTGAACATTCAAAAGTACAAAATAAGATTGTTCATGTTTCTATATCACCTTTCCCAACTGCTAGATAAAGAAGTCACAGTGAGAGCTGTCCAGTGGAATAAAGAACAGGAAGAGAATTAGAACTTGTTTGCTTGACTGTAGGGGGAAAACCTACCTTTATAAAGCAAAGTTCTCAATAAATTTATGATTCAGGTAATGGACTAGAAAATTATAATATTGTAAAGTTGACAAAACAGTGCTTTCTGTCACTCTCCCCCCTAGATTATTTGGCCGTTACCCTAATCTTTACCCTAGATGAGGAATGAGTAACCTTTTTCTTTGTAAAGGGTCAGTACATGTTTTAGGCTCTGCAGGATACATGGTTTCCCTTGCAGCTACTTAACTTTGCTACTGCAATACAAAACAACCATTATTAATACACAAATGAAGAACATGACTACTTTCCAATAACATTTTGTTAAGAAAAACAGGCAGAGGGCTATATTTGGCTATGGGCTGTATTGGCTGCCTAACCCTGCTAAAGATTTTGACTTTTTCAGTGGTGAAGACCTGAAGTGTCTTATTACTATACCAGCAAAAATTTTTAGAAGATTTGGACTTTATATTAAGAAGTCTAAAAAAATCAAGCCAGGTTATCTACAAACTGACTTTGAGCAATTAGACACAATCACTTACAATACCCTCTTGTAACACTATCCAAGTGAACAAATAGAACACTGACAGCACTCCAGAGGTCTTTCACTACTGTCCTGATATTTTGGACAAATGATCATCTCTTGTCTTTCTGTATATGTTTATCACTCAGCTTGATATGTTTAATCACTACAGATTTGTCCTTTTATCAGGCCCTTTATAAATAAAATAATATATCATGTGGCCCTTTCAGTCATGTACTGGGAAGATGCTTGTGAGGGTGACCCTTTCTGGGTGTAAGTCATGAGAGGGTATATTAATTTTAGAGAATTATTTTAAAAAGTAAATTAAAAAGTAGGCTTGGCTTCTAAAATTACTACATTTTTGTCATTTCAAATAATAATCAATAAACATTCTTCCTAATCAGGATGTATTGTTCTCCCTGCATCTTCCCTGCATATGCCATTTTGTGTCTGTTTTTTTCTTAATTGAGGTAAAATTCACAAAACATAATTCACCATTTTAAAGTATGTAATTCAGTAGCAATGAATTTACAATGCTGCAAACCTTTTCTATCTTCTTCCAAATGTTACTCCACAAGGAAAACTCGTACTCATTAACACAGCCATTCTCCATTGTTCCTCCCTCCAGCCCCTGACAATATGACTGGGGTTTACTTAGTTCTGAGCTCTGTGGATTATCTCTCCATATAAATGGAATTGGGTAATATTTGACTTTCTGTGTCTAGCTTATTTCATTTATCAAAATGTCTGTGAGGTTCATCCATGTTGTGGCATGTATTAATACTTCATTTCTTTTTATGGCTATTATTCCATTTTAATAGTATTATAGGCTGAGTAATCCCCTTCTCCCATTT